GGGTGGAGCTACTGTAAATAGCCTCTATCAACAAGGCGGGCTATTTGCACTCAAGTGTAAATAGACACTCCGAAAAAAAAAATCCATAAACGCTTATAATGCGTGTATCTGGCAACTCGACTGAGGCTGAGCCCGCGTCCTCAATCACAACTCGCTCAAGGGACGAGGCCATGTAACCTTTTCACGATGATAATATATATATTTTTTTAATCCAAATAGCTTGCTGAAATACTTATGCAGCCGCCTCATCTACGTCAGCCATGCTGATCATGACCTGTCCCGGTGACCCTGATCGCGCCTGACCTGCCTTCCGTTTCCACTATACGCCTTCCGTTTCCACTACTCTCTCACACATACATACATTCTTCTCTTACATACACATATTTTCTTCAGACATACATGCATTCTATATATATATGTACGTGAAAGGAGAATGTATGTGTGTGTGAGAGTAGAAATGTATGCATGTGAAAGGAGAATGTAAGTGTGTGAAAGCAAAAATATATGTATGTGAAAGGAGAATGTATGTGTGTGAGAGTGCCAGAATGAATTATGTCTTGTACGGCCCCTCATATGTCTCAGTCCAGTTACTGTATCACATAACAGAAACCAGATGTAACGCACATAATATTAAGACTCCCAACTGTGGATATTCAGGAGATCAAAAACAAAGAAGATTCCATTGAGCAGCTCAGTTCGGCTCTGGAAGAATATAAAAGGAAATTTGCAGTGATCCGCCATCAGCAAGGACTACTATACAAGGAGTATCAAAGGTATGCCGAGCCAATAGGAGAGTTTATATTATAAAATATTGTATATATAGAGGTATGCTGATCCAAAAATATTGCTTATAAAACATGTTCGATTACACATATGTTCAGTGACAAATAAAGCATGATTTTACCATCACCTCATGTGCTCTGATTCAGCGAGAGGGAGTCTTGGCAGAAAGAGAGAGACTCTTTTGCCGAACTGAAATCCAAACTCGAGGAACAAAAGGAGGCGGATGCAGTCAAAGTCAAAGAGTACAATGTAAGTCTCTTAAAGGGATAGTTACGGAAGTTCTAAGTGGCCATGCATAATTTTTTTTTTCCTTCTTGTTTTCTCGTTATAACGACTTATTTTCTCGTTATATCGACATAACGAGAGTTATTTTCTCGTTATAACGACTTATTTTCTCGTTATATCGACATAACGAGAGTTGTTTTCTCGTTATAACTACTTAATTTTCTCGTATATCGACATAACGAGAG